AATGAAATACACAGTTCAACAAACTGAACGCCTGGAAGTAACAAATGCATGGACCAGTTTTTGGGCCATAGAAATGGTAAATGGCCTTATATAGTGCATTTCTATGAATTAATGTGCACTAAAAGCGCTTTGCACTATTTCCCATTCACGCACACATTCACACACCAGTGATATCACCGGTGCCAGAGCAAATTCCATCAATTAATCATAAAGAAATGAGTTAAGGGCCTTCCTTAACTGTAACTTACTCAATTAATGAACAGGTCTGGTAGTGTTAAATAATTTAATGAAATACACAGTTCAACAAACTGAACAACAGTTCACTGTGTCCTGCTAACAACTACTCTGTGTGTGTTCAAAGCCCTAGAGCGCCACCGTTGTCCAAAAACTATTAAAAACACTTCAGTGAGCTACAATGTGGCATGTGGGGGACAGCTTCAAATTGGATGCACACCACAACTAGTTGATGCTACAGCATCAGTAAAAGACCAGCAACAGCTGCATTCTATGTACATTTCCTTTTCAGGAGCATTTTATCCGATATTCCTTTCACTATTTGTTTCCCCTTCCTTTCTGTTCCTCTGCCCAGGATGGCTCCAGAGGTGGCTGCAGTGGAAAAGAAGGGTGGGTACAACCACCTGTGTGATATCTGGGCCGTCGGCATCACTGCCATTGAGCTGGCTGAGCTCCAGCCGCCCATGTTTGACCTCCACCCAATGAGGTGAGTCAGTGCTCACAACATGGACTCTAGCTCAGAATTAATGACCTCCCCAGGTGTCAGAGCAGAGAGATAAACAGTAGTGACTTGTGTTCTTTGGCTGGATGCTTTGCATTTTCTTCCTGACAGTCACTGTATATAAACAATTCAGACATTTTCCAGCCTGGTGACATTTAAAACAATGTTTCAGAGCACTGATGTTGATGTCCAAGAGCAGCTTCCAGCCTCCAAGGCTCAAGGATAAGTCCAAGTGGTGAGTTGAATGTCTTTAAAATATAGTGCAATCATTTCTTCCTTTTAATCTGATTGATAACTTTTAGACACACATTCATTCACACTGTGTCGCTCTCTCATCTCGTTTCCTTCTCTCTGCAGGTCTGCAGGTTTCCAAAGCTTTGTCAAGATGGCTCTTATTAAAAATCCTCGTAAAAGGCCCTCAGCTGAGACACTGCTGCAGGTTAGCCTTTTCTTTCTAAAATGAAAAAGCTGATATCTAGCCATTATCATATAGGTACTATTATAAATAGTATTATTTTGTTTTGTTTTTAACCTTTTCATATTGAGGAAAGGTTGACTGCCTTGTCTTCTACCAGAGAACATGGAAATGAATTTGGCCAATAAAGCATCAGCTTTATTGGCCAAATTCAAATAATATTTATTGGCCAATGCAAATAAAGCTGATGCTTTATTGGCCAGATGTGGCCAGAAACTGTTCTTGTGCGCACAGTGACCTGTAGCGCCGTCCAGAGGGGAGGAGTTCAAACAGATTGTGTCCAGGGTATGAGGGGTCTGCAGTGATCCTCTCCACCCTCCTTTTGACCCGTGAGGTGTTCAGGTCCTCCATGGAGGGCAGACTCGCACCAGTTATCTTTCCTGCAGTCCTGTTCCTGTCCCGTTTGGTTGCTGAGCCAAACCAGACAGTAATGGAGGAGCATAGGACAGACTTGATGATTCCTCTGTAGAACTGTATCAGCAGCTCCTGGGGCAGGTTAAACTTCCTGAGCTGGCGTAGGAAGTACATCCTCTGCTGTGCCTTCTTGGTGATGGTCCTGATGTTGGACGCCCACTTCAGGTCCATTGATGGAGTTCTGTGTGGAATGTATCAGATTTGGCTTTTTTTTCCCAGCTTTTTTGTGTTGTTCCAATGCAAACACAATAAATAGACATGAGAATACCAGGAAGGTTCATTGTTATATCACCTTTTTGCATTTTTGTCTTGATATGACAGTACTGCAGTTTCAGACAGGAAACATAGGGACAGAGGGAAATGGCAAGCCATAAAGCTTGACTGATGTTGTACAGGTGTTGTTGTTACCCCATGATCCCATATTAAAGTCTCACACAAGTTTTGCGTGATGTTACTGATGAGCTGAAGTTAGCAAACATTTTAAAGTGCATGAAAAATGGAAAAAGGAGATCTTCCTTTAATAAAAAATAATTTTGTTTAATCTGCGATTCAGAGGTGTGTAACCTTCTTAGCAAGGGTCTTTCAAAGACTAATATATTGATGTTTCTGTAACTCCTCCTTCCAGCATCCATTTGTGACACAGCTACTAACCCGTAACCTAGTCATTGAGCTGCTGGACATGGCCAACAACCCTGAGCTCCACTCCATGCACATAGACAACCTGGATGATGCCGAGCTGGAGGTCAGTGCTACGTGGAGTGGGACAGAACTGATAGCAAGTCATTAGACTGAGCAGCAGATGATATTTAACATGTTCTACAGTACTTTATGAACCATGCATATAATTTCTGTTCTGTATGTTCAGAAAAACAATATAGTTGGTAGCTAGAAAAAAATCTGAGTCCTTTAAATAATGTATTGTGTTTTTGTGTTTTTGCTGGTGTGTTACATAAGTACTCTGTTGACAGGCTGGGGAAATTGCTCCTGACAAGATTCAGTCAGCAGGGAAACACCTGCCTGCAGAGAGGACCCTGTCTGAAGAACAATGTGAGAACACACACACACACACCGACAATCACAGACAGGCTTTAAAGGAACAGTCACAGTTTGAAAAATTCTGAGTTTTTGTAAGGAAATTGAGTTCATCTCAACAAACATGTCTTCACCTGAAGTATAAACAAGAAACTGTTGCAGCACGTAACTCCCCCGTAAAACCACAAACTGTCATTTTTCATTTGTGTGTGCAGAATAATCAAGTAAGATGCCGCGGGTTAGTAGATTTAAAATAAAACAATGGCTGTTACATTAAAGTGTGAGGTTTAATTTGAGTAGGTGTGGGACATGTAGCGCTTTAACACATAGTGCCAAAAGTTTAGGGGTTTAGAAGTAATTGGACAGATACACATGAAGTCAGACTAAATCATCATACTTGATATTTTGTGGAAAATCTGTTGCAGACAATGACTGCCTTAAGTCTTTGATGCACAGACATGTTCTCCCAGACCTTTACTGCAGCCACCTTCAGCTCATGCTTCTTATGGGGTCTCCCTGCCCTCAATCCAGTCTTCATTGATATTCCAGCTCTTCGCCCTAAATAGCGGTTGGTTGCTTTGGAAGAACGTTTAGGGTCATTGCCCCTCATTCACTAATATGTGTGTAGAAATGTTCTTGCACACAAAATTACTATCACAATCATGACACGTTCTAAAACAACAGGTGTGTGCCCGAAATGAGCAATTAGCATAACGCCACCACCCATTTTTGCCTTGTGGATAAAGATGAATTTGCATAGGAGAAGCATGACAGGACAGGACTTGAACCTGAGGAGATATCTGATGAGAGCTGTGTCTGATGATTAAGATGCTGTTCCAGTGAGCTGTGTAGCTCCAGCAAAACTTGTCGGGAATGGCTGAGAAGCCATTCGTCACTCTCTTCAAACGCGTTCGTCAGCCTCTGGAGATGCACCCTGTCCTGAAGGAATGAGCTGCATTGTCTCCCAGCAAGGCTCAATATGCCATCTGAACACTTGCTCAGAGGTGAATTGGAATTGTTTATATTTCCTGCAGCCTCTTAATAGGCTGCAAAGTAATCAGGTGGCTACCAGTTAACATTGGCTACATATGTGCACTAGAAATTGGTAGGAAGGGTCGACCACTGTAGGCTACATCAATAATAACAATGAAAAACAACCCTGATGCATTTCAATATGGACATTCTTGTGTAACTATCCATATTGTATGCCTCATACTTTTAAGCTAGAACTGGGACTGGGATAGCTGAATATTTTAATCCTGATGAAAAGGTGTCACTTTCTATTTTACATTAGAGCATTACTAAATTAATGGTTAAAGCCACAAATAAAATTAATATAATATATCAAAATGTGGGACTATTCCTTTAACTCGCCTCAAACCACTTCATATGCTTGTTTGCTGTTTTGTGTCACATTGTACAGTTTGATTCTGAGAGCCAGTGTATGTGCAAGTGCCCTTGATGGCTATACTTGTGACTGTATGCACGTGTATATACTGTACTTTGGTTGTACTTGTCGATGAGTCCCTTCATTGTCCACCACAAGCGGCGGTATTCAGTGCTCTAATCTCCATAATATGAAAAAGGACAAAAGCCTCTCAGTCATTCTGCTGATGGCTGCCCTCGGCCTGTGACCCGTCCATACATGTGGGATGGAAGCTGCGTCAGAGGATGGCACTGAGAACATGCCAGTGGAGTGTGACACACAGTGGTACTTCCATGCACTGACTAGAGTGACTTCACGCTGCTGTACCTCCAGAAGACTTCTTATGGCCCAAGTGTATCTAACGTGATAGTCTAATTTTACACTCTAGCCATCACATGGTGTTGACCTCAACATCCCTTTCATACAGTATGTTTTTTTCTTAAACACACAAGCCACAAACACATTGAACATCTGCACCTCAGTTTGACCAATAGTGCCTTTGAAGGTAGTACCGCTGTCACTAACGCTACTGCTATTTGCAGAGTGAAAGACAAAACATAAAAATAGAATTTGAAACCACATTCATGCTGCGGATAACATACTTCTTCTCTTTATTTAACCAGGTAAAAAACCCATTGAGATCACGATCTCTTTTACGAGGGTGACCTGGCCAAGTGGTCAACAACACATGTTGTCAATACATAAGTTTCAATACAAATCAAAAACATTAAACATTTAAACAATCAAAACCATAAATACAATAATCAACAATACAACCAATTTAAAAACACCTACACTGACCAATAGAGTCCTGTTGCCTAAGAGCCATAAGAGAATAAAAAGCTTTAACTGAGCATAATTCAGTAAGTTTAAAATCTGCTTGGAAACTATTCCACGAAGAGGGAGCGGCAAATCCAAAAGCCCGTTTCCCTTTTTCGGTCCGAACTCTAGGCACCATGAGCTGATACTTATCACAAGACCATAAGGCATATTTGGTATCCGATCTACGTAAAAGAGAGCATAAGTATGCCGGAGCTAGGCCTACCAAAGCCTTGTACACTAGCACCATCCAATGAACATGTCTTCGCATGCTCAGAGACGACCACTGTGCTTTAACATACAGGTCGCAATGGTGCGTTAGTCGACTACAACCCGTCACAAACCTCAAGGCACTGTGGTAAACCACATTTAAAGAATGGAGACATCTAGCTGAGGCATTCATATACAGTACATCACCATAATCCAACAGGGGAAGAAAGGTCGCTGATATTAAATATTTGCGTGCTTGCAAGGAAAAGCAGGATTTATTACGATAAAAGAATCCAATCTTCACCCGTAATTTTCGAACCACATTAGCAATGTGGGTTTTAAAAGACAACTCACAATCAAGTAAAAAACCTAAGTACTTATAGCTAGAAACCAGCTCAATCAACACTCCCAGATCTGTTGTTATTGACAGAGTATCTGTACATACTGTAGAACACTAGTCAAAAGTTTGGGGAAGCTTCTGTTAACACAGCTCAGCTGTGCAGTGACGATTGATCATTTCCAAGAAAGGGCATGTTATGTTCACTGTGATGGAATTTCTTTGGCAAGCACATTACAAGTCTCTGCAGATTTCTCATCCTGCAGTGAAACTGCTGACAAGGTGGAAATAAAATCCTAAGTGTCATGTGTAAATGAAAATATGATCAACTTTATTTCATTCATTTATTTCTAAGCAGCAGAGAAACAACTTCAAAGACATTTAAAGTTATAAAATGATGATGCTTTGGTGCAGGAGTGTGAGAACCAACCAAACTGAGAGGGAACAGCAGCTTTTGGTTCACTAGTTTCCTCATCCCCTGCTTCAGTGTATAAAACTGTCAACCAGCAGCTCAGGCTCTCTGTGGTCTCATGATAGCACACTTCCTCTTGTCAATCACACGTCACTGAAGAGACGGTGGGCCCCTGAGCACAGGCGTGGAAAAGGGCCCTACCTCTCCAACGCTGCAAGAGCAACACTTATAGACTGAGCACCACTGTGATTTGTGTTCAGTTTGTCACTTTGTGGGGTTATTTTGTGTGTCTTTGTACTTGTTTTGCATCAGTTTTTAGCTATTTCATAGTTGCTTTGTGTCTCTTTGTGATATGACACAATTTTTAGCAAGGTTGCAATGATACATTTATTTGTCTCTTTATTATGATACAATATTACCAGAAAATAAGGAACTATGTAGCCTACACAATAACTAATTTTTGACCTGTGAGGTGTACTGGTCCTCTATGGAGGCCAGGCTGGCACTGGTGATTCTTTCTGCAGTCCTGACTGTCTGCTGGAGTCTGTTTATGTTCTGTTGGGTTGCTGAGCCAAACCAAACATGGAATAGCAGAGAACAGACTCAGTGATTCCTCTGTAGATATGTATCAGCAGCTTCCGGGGCAGGTTGAACTTCCTGAGCTGACGCAGGAAGTACATCCTCTGCTGTGCCTTCTTGGTGATGGTGCTGATGTTGGCCAACCACTTCGGGTCCTGGGAGATAGTGGAGCCCAGGAACTTGTAGAACTCTACTGCTGAGTATGATGGTGCACTCTTCCTAACATCCACTGAGAGCACACATCCCTGGGTGGCACCTGTGCTGAAAGACCGGGCACTGGATGTGGTTTTCCCCAGCCTCACCTGTTTCTTCCTGTCTGTCAGAAAGCTAGTGATCCACTGACAGATGGGGGCAGGTACAGTGAGCTGGGTCAGTTTGGAGTGGAGGATGTCTTTGATGGAGGTGTTGAAGCTGAAGTCCACAGAGAGGGCCCGTGCATAGGCCCCTGGGGAGTCGAGGTGTTGCAGGATGTAATGCCATGTTGACTGAGGCTCATCAGTCACCTGAGAGCTGAGTGCTCATCAATATTGTGAATGAGAAAATGTCTGGATTGTGTGTGAGTTCATTTATTTCTAAGCAGCAGAGAAACAACTTCAAAGACATTTCAAGTTATAAAATGATGATGCTTTGGTGCAGGAGTGTGAGAACCAACCAAACTGAGAGGGAACAGCAGCTTTTGGTTCACTAGTTTCCTCATCCCCTGCTTCAGTGTATAAAACTGTCAACCAGCAGCTCAGGCTCTCTGTGGTCTCATGATAGCACACTTCCTCTTGTCAATCACACGTCACTGAAGAGACGGTGGGCCCCTGAGCACAGGCGTGGAAAAGGGCCCTACCTCTCCAACGCTGCAAGAGCAACACTTATAGACTGAGCACCACTGTGATTTGTGTTCAGTTTGTCACTTTGTGGGGTTATTTTGTGTGTCTTTGTACTTGTTTTGCATCAGTTTTTAGCTATTTCATAGTTGCTTTGTGTCTCTTTGTGATATGACACAATTTTTAGCAAGGTTGCAATGATACATTTATTTGTCTCTTTATTATGATACAATATTACCAGAAAATAAGGAACTATGTAGCCTACACAATAACTAATTTTTGACCTGTGAGGTGTACTGGTCCTCTATGGAGGCCAGGCTGGCACTGGTGATTCTTTCTGCAGTCCTGACTGTCTGCTGGAGTCTGTTTATGTTCTGTTGGGTTGCTGAGCCAAACCAAACATGGAATAGCAGAGAACAGACTCAGTGATTCCTCTGTAGATGTGTATCAGCAGCTTCCGGGGCAGGTTGAACTTCCTGAGCTGACGCAGGAAGTACATCCTCTGCTGTGCCTTCTTGGTGATGGTGCTGATGTTGGCCAACCACTTCGGGTCCTGGGAGATAGTGGAGCCCAGGAACTTGTAGAACTCTACTGCTGAGTATGATGGTGCACTCTTCCTAACATCCACTGAGAGCACACATCCCTGGGTGGCACCTGTGCTGAAAGACCGGGCACTGGATGTGGTTTTCCCCAGCCTCACCTGTTTCTTCCTGTCTGTCAGAAAGCTAGTGATCCACTGACAGATGGGGGCAGGTACAGTGAGCTGGGTCAGTTTGGAGTGGAGGATGTCTTTGATGGAGGTGTTGAAGCTGAAGTCCACAGAGAGGGCCCGTGCATAGGCCCCTGGGGAGTCGAGGTGTTGCAGGATGTAATGCCATGTTGACTGAGGCTCATCAGTCACCTGAGAGCTGAGTGCTCATCAATATTGTGAATGAGAAAATGTCTGGATTGTGTGTGAGCACATTGGCCTGCTCTTTTTTTTTTTTGTCTTAATCTGATAAAACCCACAGATATGTATGAATGCTGCCCAACAATCCTTTTGTTTTGTTTTCAGTTAACCAAGTGAAGTTTGGGCCCCAACGGAGGAAAGTCACAGAGCCTTATCCTGATCTGGTAATATACTTTTTCCTACCAAGATATATTCTGACAGCGGCATTCTATACTGATGAGCTGACATACATGAATGTACATGTATGCTCTGTTGTGGTTCTCCTTTCAGCAGGGCTCTTATGATGACTGGAGTCTGTCTGGAGATGAAGACAACTCACTGTAAGACTTCTCTTTGTTTTCTTCTTCACTAGCTTTACTCCATATGGGAAATATTACAGGATGCTTGTTTAGAACTGTGACTAGTTTTTTAATAGTGTCCAACAGGGCCTCCAAAGCCAAAGATTTCCAGCATGTGATATGTGTTGATTTCTAAATACCCAACAGTAAAGTAAGCACGGCCATGTTAAGAAGTGGATGATGTGTTCCAGTATGGCACCCTATTCATTTATTTCTTTAGGCTCTCATGTTTTATTAGTCAAAATCTGTATATTATTTTACTGATTTCTCTTAAGGCTCTTCAAGCCCTTTATCAAGTCCTTTAGATAATACATAAAGTTTTTATAGAGGTACAAATTTTCCCCTTGTATTCATCATTTTACAACCTTTTTTTATTGTGTAATGGCCATGCAAAATCTTTTTTGGGGAGTGAGTTGGTATCAAGTTAGCTGTAATTATGAGTCTGACCACTACGACCAAATTGCCACTGGGCACTAAAACACAATCAGAGTGTGTAACAGAAGGTGGATAATAAAGCTTTAGCGTGTTTAAAAGAATGAGGCACTTTGGCGTTACCAGCATGGGCACTTTTTAGTTAAACTGATGGGCTGATTATGTAAAAATGTTGTCTTATTAAAAGCAGCAGGGGTAGTAATATCAGTGTTTCTTATATTCCTAATAGAAGAGATATTAATAGTAATAACAGCAAAGATACTAGGAGCAGGTTTCAGTTAGTGACAGTATTATCACTAACAATACTTTTAGCATGAAAAGGTTAATTCAGGTTTATTACAGCTTGGGTCTCTGTTGTTTTGGCCATCATTTCTATCAGTAAACATACTCACTAAATGCAATTATGAGTGTGTGACAACAAGAAGCTTCCAAGGTTAATACAACACTTAACAGTAAACTGTGTGAATTTGTGTACACTTCAATGGAAGTGTGCCAGATACAGCATGGTGCAGTACATTTAATATCCATATCTTATGCCAAATTATTTTGGTCTGTTACCAACAAAATGTCCGTCTCCATCTTCCAAGTCCAAATGCAGTTAATGCTTGAGTCCAAGTCCGAGTCATCGGTGCTCACATCAAATCCCAGTCATGAGTCCTGATAATCAGGACTCAATTCTGAGTCGTGGACTTGAGTAATACAACACAGACTTATGTAAACTTGACCAGACCTTTTTAAAGAAGGCTAAAACCTAAACATGGATAAGTGCTACTAGCTGTTTCCTGACCCACCAGACTTCTTTTGAGTGATGTCACTACATTCCCAGGTCTCAGCAGGAGGGCCACACACAACCACCACTGAGAACACTGAGGTTATGATCATATTAATTATAAAGCCCTGGCTGTAGCTCTTCTTAATAACTAACTTGTTGAATACTTTGTTATTATTATTGATAGTAATGATGTCCAAGACTGGGAGCGTAAGATCTGAGTAGTAGCAAACCCTAATTATCCTTAAATTTGACACAGAATATCAGCAGAACTCTCAGGCTTCAGAAACCGACAAGAGTCGCTCTCTGGTTTCTTCCTTCCCATTGTTATGGGCCATTCAGACCCGTAGTCAGATAAACACCAGGTCTTCCTGTTGCAGGAGCCTGTTGGAATGTGTGGAAGAAGCTCTGCAGCTGAGGTAGGCCGCGTCCATCACCTCCAGCCTTTTCTAACAGCAGTGATTACTTTTGAATATGTAAATATCAGCTAATGCCAACATGTTTGACATAATCAGTGGGTTTGTGTTTGCTGTGTGTCCACTAATCTCATCCCCAAACCCTAAAATCCTGCTGTACTTCTTTATGAACTGGATGTGGCTCTGATTCAGCACAAACCCTCTGGTTCTTAGCTCTGTGGGCTTTTTTTTCTTACTGTTGTGGTGTTGACTCTGACTATGTTCTGCTGTTAGCCTTCCATCAGCATCCTCAGCATCTGGCTTTGTTATCCAGCTTATTGTTGTGATGATGTTGCTTGGTTTGGGTCTCAGCAGATGACTCCATTCTTTGATGTTTAGAGCCTGATCAGGACATTGTTGCTCCTTTGTCTTTCAGGAGTTTAACCATTAAGAGGGCGCCATCTACTGATGTAAGTGGCAACACAACAACTATAAACTGACTCAGTAATAAGCATTGTAAAAATATTCATATATGTGTTTAGGTGTAGCACTGTATGTATATATGACCTTAGAATTTTATATACAAAATAAATATATATAAATATTTATAATACCTGTCTGAACCACAAGATTTGATGAATGAGTTCACCATGAATCCTGTTTTACAACAGTCACTCCAGTAATTTGTGATGAACTAACAGACCAACTAGCATACCAGTATCCCCGCAAGCATACGTGCTGTATAAATATTAGAACATGATGTACATTTTATAGTATTAGTATATACAGTAGTATGATATCGTGACATACAATCGTGTTTTCCCTTGAGAGTGACTAATGTGTTTGCTGATGGATTTCAGGGTGTCAGGAACAGCGGCTTGTTAAGTCCATCTACAGCCTCCCTGCCACCCTTCAGCTCGCTAACTCCCAGCACAGAGAGCAGAGACCTGACACTGAGACCAAGCTGTACGCTCAGGCCTGACACCTCTGCTGGCTCTACCTCCAGTACAGGTACAACACATCACGCTCACCATTTCATTAGAGCTCATGTCTCCAACATATCATGTACGTACACATTGAGAGCCGCTGTACCAGAGACAAATTCCTTGTGTGTCCAACACACCTGGCCAATAAAGCTCATTCTGATTCTGATTCTGATATCAGATAGGCTTTATGGGCCAAACAAAGACTGAGCACAAGAAAAAATGACTTTGTGCTCCTCTCTCCTTTGCTTTCATAAGTTTTGGCCAGGTGCTCAGCCACGCAGGACATCAGGCAGCGCTGTGATCCCTGTCTGCCTGTTGCAGGCGCTGCAACAGCAGAGAAGAGGAAGGTTGCCAGTGTCTCCTCTCCAAAAAGAGAAACATCATTATCACCTGAATGGAGCACACTGAGAAAAAAGACTGAGGACTCTGTGAGTTCAAACCAAACATCTGTATCTTCATATCAGTAGCAAACATCAATAAGCTTGTGTGATAAGCTAACCTAATAACTTCCTAATAATTTGGTTGGGGTCCTTTAAAAGTCTGTCTGCCTATAAGATGACAAATTATGCAAACAAACAAGATATTTATTGTTGATGTGATCTGACTCCCCCCCCCCCCCTTTTTGTTTTGTGTAACCTTTGAACTTTCTAGAGGGCTGATTGTCATGGACTTCCTCCTACCCCTCAAGTCCATGTAAGTGTGAAATCTAACAGCATGTCATCTACTATAAAAGCTGACCAACTGCAATGCTTAGATGGCTAACACGATAAGCTTCCTCACATGGCATGACACAAGCTGCACAAGAAACAGTTTTTATGTCAAACTCCTGCTGCTGTTTTTATGGTTGAACCATTTAAATACTCACCACTCAACACTAGGTGAGAGACAAATGGTATTTCAATTTTCTGTATGTCCTGCACATATAGTGAATTGACAATAAAAATCTTTAACCCTTAATCTTATGGAAATGTTTTTGGATGTATCAGTGAAATTCAGTATGACATTTGGTATCTTTGGAAGCCTCAACATCCAGTTACATGTTGGCTTGGAGTAAATAAGTAACGGAGCCGAGCCAAAGTTAGTTAAAGAAAGCACTATGTGTCTCATTTTTACACAAAATAAACAATTGGATTCTTAATAATGTACAGTATGGTTTATTATTTCATAGAACTAGGGTTTTATTTGACTTTTTACATGTGTTTCAAATCTGCCACCCTTCTCCGAGTCTGTGCCACCTCATCCAAAAATTTCTAGATCCGCCTCTGTTTATATTCAATACATAAAGTGATTATTATAATAATCAAACATGCTGTTTTTGACAGGGTGGCCATCTATAAAAAATTTTTTAAAGGATCATTATTTCAAACCATTAGTAATTCAGTTGCTATGCTGGCTTTGTAGATGGGAGCCTGCTTCTCCAAAGTCTTCAATGGTTGTCCTCTTAAAATCCACTGTGCTGTCACCTGGATTTTACCCAAGACAAGAGGTAAGACAAGAAGGTCTCCTAATGTCCTGACACTGTAATAGAGTGAAGGGAGCTTTGCTACAAGTCTCATCAACTGTACGACAAACAACATCAACACATAATCTCTATCTTAAGGTGCTTTTATTGTCCCTCTAACAAACACTTTTCCTTTTCAGATCAGTACCTTATCCTTGGGGCAGAGGAGGGCATCTACATACTGAACCTTAATGAACTTCATGAGGATACACTAGAGAAGGTAAGAAAAGGACTGAACCATGTATTTTTGTTTTTTTAGATGAACTCGGTCTAAAATTTGAGACATGAGTGGTGCTTTCTTTGTTATTGAACATCATGGTGGAACAATAAATGGTTCATATGTGTCCTGGGTACCATTTTAATTTTAAATCCAGTGATCAGAAAGGAGGCTCTGGCAGATTGTGGAACATCAGGGGAGGGGAGGAGAGGAGCTCTGCATCATGGGACGCCCCTCAGCCTAGGTCTATAACTAAGGGATGGTACACCAAACCAAATCTACCCTAGAATGCATGTCCAATAATTTTATAGACACCACTACACAGGCAAAGGCCATCCTGTTCACTAGAAACCACTAGTATGGTTAAATATACTCAGTGGCAAGAGCAAAGTGCTCTGTTGGGATGATAAGGCACAATGAGGTCTTTAAAATACGATGGAGCCTTGTCATTATGGGCTTTGTATGTTAGTAGAAGGATTTTAAAATCTATTCGGGATTTTACAGGGAGCCAGTTTTTCAGCATCACTTTGACGATATTGTGTAGGTGAAATATAAACTTTATCATCAAAGCTGATATTTCAAGAACAGTTTTGATGTACAGATGTGTGTAATGTATCAAATTACAGCACTCAGTAAAAGTCAGGCTCGCTGACTCTTCTTTCTTCCTCCAGCTGCTCCCTCAGCGTTGTACATGGCTGTATATCATGAATAATGTGCTGATGTCTGTATCAGGTAACAGATCCCTTAAAATAATGTTTTTATCTGAGAACACAGCGTACTGTATATTACCTGTTGCTCTAAGGGCAGAGGTCTTCCTGCATCGCTGCTAGTTCTTTCACATTGGCTTGGTGTATCTCTCCCCTAAGAAAGTCTCCATCCCGCAGGAAAGTCATCCCAGCTTTATTCCCACAGTCTGACAGCTCTGTTTGAACAGAGAGGACATGTGCACAAGAGACACGGCAGTCTGTCACTCGGCACCAACCGCTTCACTGAGAGGATCAGCCACAGGTAGGACAGGGCATTGGTTTAACATTACCATTTAAGGAAAAAATAGTAGAAGTTGTGGTAGTGCTGTAGCACTGCACATAATGTCATTATGGACTCGAACATTAGGTGGCCTCAGACATTTTTAGTCTTACACATGGAGGATATAAGTCATTTTTTCTCTTGATCCACAGAAAGTTTGCCATATCTGTGAAGATTCCCGACACTAAAGGTTGCAGGAGATGTAGTGTAGGTAAGTGATACAGAGTTTACTCTGTATGCTCTGTATGTTTCTTCAGTACCAACATCAAACTCCTCACCTTTTTCTTTCTCTTAGCAAGAAACCCGTACACAGAGAGTACATTTCTATGCGCAGCAGTTCCATCTGGCCTGGTTCTGCTGTTGTGGTATGAGCCTCTCCAGAAGTTCATGCATCTAAAGGTTTGTCCAGACATGTTACACTTTAAATGGTCTTGAGTATTTTAAGGACTTTGTGTATTTCTGTTCTAGAGGTTCAGCCCATATTGGTAAAATTATATTACTTGTAAATTTAGCTCTGTTAGTGTTAGGGGTGTTTTAAGCCAAAGTAGATACAGTAAAGTAGGCTTATTTTCAGAAAAATGTCTATCTCATTAAGGTGCATTGAAGATACAGTAAAGTAGGCTTATTTTCAGGAAAATGTCTATCTCATTTAAGGTGCATTGAGTACGGTAATTTCTTTTCACATAAAATTCCAGGCTAGAGACTTCTAGTGAAACTCAAACTGACATCAACAGCTGCTGGAAAAAATTTCGTTGTGCTATGCATAATGACAATAAAGATTCTTGGCTTGACTTGACTTGTTTCCTATGACCTCTTCTGTCTGGCAGCTGCTGTTTCAGACTTTTAGAACAGTTTTAAACCAGAGTTGACTTGGCACGCTTGCATTAGCTCTGATTGGATGGAAGTTTTTCTCTTTTCTTGTTGGAGGTTTTTTGAGCTGTTTTCATTCAGGCACATTTTGCACCAAAAACTTATGAAGTTACTGTAGATTATTATAAAACTGCATCATTTCATCCTGAACACATGATAAAAAGGCTTTTCACAATGGAATTATTTCTAAAAGAGCCTAGGCACCACATATGTGGTGCTGATACACATGTTTACAACAGTAGTGCCATTTGGGTAAAGTTTCACATAAAATTCTAGGTGAAAAATTGTGCACTTGTTCTGTCATGTTTTGCTTACAAGGTTTTATGTGAACATGCTAGTATCTCCTTTCAGAACTGTAAATCAGTCACTCACCTGCCATCATGTAACCTAACTGTCCTTATTCTGTGACCATCTGTTTGACATGCAGCAAATAGCAATAAGGCTACCGGACTCTCTGCCGATATTTGAGCTGCTGGTGTCGGTGGCAGATGAATTCCCCCAGCTGTGTGTTGGGGTGAGAGACTGCAGTAATGGCAAACCACCCACCAGCCAACAGCTCAAGTTTGATATTATAGAAGTGAGCGGCACACCTATTTCAGTACCAGGTAGGATGACTGCTGTGATTATCCACTGCTGTTCAGAGAGCTCAGTTTAAAGCTTAAACTAAACTCTCCTCTTTGTCACCGTGTGCATCTGCAGATAGTGGAGCACTCAGGGCAGTACAGGTGACCCAAATGGACAGAGACACTGTTCTCATTGCAGTAGAAAGTAAGTCACTTCCATCACAACGTGTCATCCAAATCCTCCAGCCAGTTTTCATACCGATTCATAACATACTGTGTCTCAAACCTGATGCTCACTGGACAGAAACCGTTAAGATTGTGAACCTCCACGGGCTTCCATCCAGAGAGCTGGCTGCTGAAATGGTCTTTGACTTCCCCATCGAAACTTTAGGTAGAAACAATCATGTGAAAAACACAGTGAATGAGACTTGATGTTCTACCTGACAGTTGAATGACATGACGTGTTCTGACAGTCTGCTTACAGGACAGCGTGTTGGCTTTCTGGAAACATGGACTTAAAGGGAAGAGTTTTCATTCCAATGAGGTGATTATCTACTTAGGACATTAGGACTTACTGTATGTCAGACTGAGCTGATGTCATGTGTTTGTCATTCACTCATTTATTTGTATTATCGTGTCTATAATGTGAATTTCATCTTCATCTGCAGGTAACACAAGAAATTACAGATGAAACTAGAGTATTCAGAGTTTTGGGAACAAACAGGTACATTAACTCACAATATCAGTATCATTCACTGTATAATGGAGCAGTTGGTTGTAATTGTAAAGCAGGTGTAATAGTACTGGTAGTTATAGCGCTAACTGTAGTAGTGTTATTAGGCAAATTAGCAGCATCGGTAGTAGTATTTGCATAGATAGTAGTGGCAGTATATTAATACCTGTATTTGTGATATTAATATCAGTGATAATAGCACTAATATTATTAACCAAAATAGTGGTAGCAGTATTAATAGTAGCAGTAGCACTGCAATATTAATAGCACTAATAGTGGTAGTGGTATTAATAGTAGTGCATTAAGTAGTCTTAAGCCAGATTTATACTTCTGCGTCACTGCACGTATGCAAACGTATGAGTACGTCTTTCAGACAGTTGCATAGTCTGTTGCATTTATACTTTTGCGAACATTAATGCTCTGACTAGGGGATGCTCAAACAACAAAATACAGAAAATACAGCAGAAGTCAGGAAACGTAAATCAATGAGACATTTTTTTGTGAAAACAAGTACTTCTCAATAGGAAGCGAAATCAACCAATCGGCGTGCAGGATGTGTAGCTCCACACAACACATAGTTGAGTTGGGAGTATGCGCATTGGCCTGTCTGTGTCTCTCAGAGACTTGCACCCTTTGCTGTGTTGGTACGTGTCAACACCTATGCATAGTTTTAGAGAAGTATAAATTTGCGTTTATTGATATTAGAGAGTAGTTACATTTATAGTAATAGTCATAGTGGCAGTTGTATTCATAGTAGTAGCGGGAGTATTAGTGGGAGTACTAGTGGTAATGGTAGCTGTAATCAAAGTACTATTGTTGCAAACTCTAAATGTACTGTTTAAGCTCCTTCATAAACTTTGGGCCAGCTCTGCATTTTTGGTTACCATTCATGCTCTCTGGGCAACCTGTGAAATCCCCACCCTTTCTTTGTACAGGGACATCGTCCTTCAGAGCATACCAACACATGAGCCCTCGGCACTGAGCAACCTCTACATTCTGACTGGACATGAAAGCAGCTACTGAGAGAAAATCGAACTACTACTACTTCAAAAATCACATTGAAGAGAAATGCTTGTCCTCTGTAACCCTATGGTGGAAATGACTGAAGCCCTACTGATCCCACCAACTCTGTGCTGTGGATGACACATGTCAGTATGGGGCTCAGTTACTTGCTCAGACTCAAACAGCACTTGGATGTGCTAATTAAAGCTGCAAAGCTAATATTTACAGTACATGCTATAACAATCCACCTTCCCAGCCAGTGAGATTGCAACAGAGAAGACAGATGCCATCGATGTACTGCTGTCAGTATGGCCCATAGACATTACATCTGTGCTGTTACACATGCTTCTGAACTAATGTTTTGAAGCTTTACTTTGGGTCAACAGTTTGCTGCCATCTTGGAACCCGAACATTTGGTCAAATGGGATGACATCACAAACTTACTACAACCATTTGGCGATTAAAGGAATTCTCCAACAATAATGTTGACGTTTTAATATCAGACATTCACTACTATTGATTTGTGGCTAATTTGCTACAGGGAGGAGCTGTAGTCCATGTGTAATATAACATTCTAATTCAAAATGAACAGTCAGGAATCCACGTTAGTATAACCCCAACCTCTGTGTGTCCCACTGGTCCAGCAAACTGTGAAGAAATACACACTTCCACTGCATCATTCTCTTGGGAGACCTGAAACAGAAATTTCAGCAATTACGGTTGACCTGTTGACTGGAATACTCTTTGTGGTTGTACGCTAACTGAAGAACTGACAGTGATTTTTCTTGCCAGCACAACATTAGATACTCTCAATATATAAACAGAGAAACATAGAATAATGTCAATTGTTTTAAGAAGCATTGATGAAACAAACCTTTTAACAAAAAATACATTGTCTGGTTGAAGCTAGCTTGAAAACACAGAAGAACATTATTTAGAATATTAGAAAGTGTACATAACCAAAGTCATTTTTCAAATGTATATTTTTTTATCTAAGACTGTCATTTTGAAAATTACATTTAAATGTATTTTGATTATTGTAAATGTGCTAGCTTAGCAGCATTTACATTTTGCACCACCATGTTGAGAGAGCGTTAGGTTCCTTTCCATTGCAGTCATCCATGGGTGTCAAACAGAGCTTTAACCTGCGGCTCCATGTTCCTCATCCATCACTATTAATAATTCAGCTCACACATAGCCTAAATGTACAGTTGATTACTTGAGGTCATGTAGAAACTGAATGCAAACAACTGTACTTTTGTTTGACTAAAATGCAAGTTCCACTACATTAGATTACATAATGATATTTATGTTATTTATGGAAAGGCAATGTAACACTCACCTTTCCCTGAGGGATACTTGAAAGACAAATATGCATATAAGTATTGTTTTTTAGGACATTTGTACTGTTATTGTGTATAAATGTTTATGTATATAACAATATTGTATGCTGTGATAGTATGGAAAATTGTAATATGCAAATTAAAATTTTAATATTCTTTGCCTTAGATGTGTTTCACTGTCATGACGATTCACTTGTAGCCAGAGGTTTGGTAATGTATACAACAATCAATGCCATTATTGTTGTCTTTATTGGGATACGGATACTGATTATCCCTAAAGTTATTGCATGTGATGTCAAAAAAGTAAAACTTTTTCTACTTCTGAGCCAAAAAACAGCAGCCTATGCTGATATGTATATAGGCCTAATTCTAGCTAAGGGATTTTTAGATTAGACTTGCAGATCTCTGGATTTATAAACGCATTCTTTACATAAGTTTGATCATAATTGTTATAGATTATAGTTGGACAAAAATAATGTTTTGGCACAAGGTTTATGTTTTCATAAAGCTGCAACAATTACAGTATCGTTTGTATTGTTATTAATTTTACCATAAAATGTGCCAATGTGGCTCTTTAAAGTTGTGAGAACCGGCCAATTTATGCTCAAAACGATGGTGGCATTAAAATAAAATTTGGCCACACAATTATACAGACACACATCCACCTCCATGACATTCACTCAGTAGGTGGCAGTGTAGAGTCTATAAGGAAAAGGAAGCGCTAATAGCGTTGTGGTGCAACAGCGCCATTTCATGATTCATTCATTGTTGTTGAGGCCTACAACACAATATTGGTAAGTTTAGCGTTTTAGGGCTGATAAAATGTGTGGTGAAATATGTTTTAGATAGTTCACGGTATATAACGCTAACTGTCATGATAGTGTTGTTATAGATGCTCTCTGGAAGTACACAGGTTGTATTAACTAGCGGGCGAAAGTTAGCTAGTAAGTTGTTAGCTAGCCTGCTAATATTGTAGCTCCTGAGTTCATACGCTCTAATAACCGAAACATTAGACCGTCATAACCTCTGAATCATGGACACATTGGATACTGAACACAATTATTGAATTTTACGAGCGAGCCATTGCGACTGTGTAGTCCGGCTAGTTAGCCGCTGCAGCATAGCTAACATCGAAAACACAGGTTGTTAGCAAGCTAGCAGACTAGTACGACTTGTTGGATGATGATGACATATTCGACTAGCTTAAGTTAGCAAATGTCAGAGTGGACGATGTGAAATCCATATCGACATGCAGTGGCTCAAAATTTCACTTCATTTTGATATTCGGATCACAGGTTAACAGAACGCATATGTAACCGTATAGACAAATAAACAGTAGTTAACTTTTAAAGCTGGTATGTGCCCCTCACCGTAAATAGTTAACGTTAACTCATTCCTCTGCTATCTATACAGGAGCAGCGCTTGTGTTGCGGGTGTACGCTCCTGTAACCCGCCTTTGACCCTTTCATACACATTGTTTTTTTTTCTTGGTTTGATAGGTTTTGAACATTTTTATTTTAATTAAACATTTTGTATTAGAATATATCTAGACTGCATAACAGAAACAATTCAATATAGTCCAAATGACCCATTAACTGGATCGCCCCAAATGTCCAAATATGGTTGAATCAAGACTTCTCAAAACTGTTTTGCCAAAATACAACATTATAAACTTCATGAATGTCATCTATTGCAGGACTGTTGTGTAAATATGCCTTATTTCTTAACTAGGTGTACCTTATAAACTGGCAGCTGTGTATTTATATTAATTGCACCTCTTCACTGAGACAGCGGAGAGGACTTTCATCCCTTTTAAAGATTTCTTGAATATTGGTTGTGGTCATAATTGTTTTTTCTTTTTTTAACCTAGGGTACACAGAACATCATGGTGAAAATATTTATTGGCAATCTCGCCTGTAACACTACAGCCGACGAGCTGCGTGAACTCTTTGAAAAATATGGCAAAGTCACAGAATGTGACATTGTCAAAAACTATGGTTTTGTACACATGTCCAACATGTCTGAAGCAGAGGAGGCCATTCGAAACCTTCATCAGACCCAGTTGCATGGCTGGCGCATGAATGTGGAGATGAGCAAAGGGAGGCCCAAGGCCACCACCAAGTTACATGTCAGCAACCTTGGTGAAGCAGTCACCAGTGATGTTCTGCGAGCTAAGTTTGAAGAGTTTGGCTCAGTGGTGGAGTGTGACATAGTGAAAGACTATGCCTTTGTTCACATGGAACGAATGGATGATGCCATGGAGGCCATCAGTAAGCTGGACAACACAGCCTTCAAAGGTGAACTCTTTGGAAGGGGAGACCTAGTTGTCTTTTCAGTCTGTAGATACGAATTTGGAACCTGTTCTGTCGCTGTAGAGCTCTCGTGACACGTAAAAGCCAATTATTGATATATTTCCCCATAAAGAAGGAAAAGAATGGATAACCTTTGCCTGAAATGACCAGGTGGACTGAAAATAATCACTTAAGTTTTCCACTGTCTTCTTGTAAACTCAGTGGCAGTGTAACTGGTGAATAGACGTGGGCGTAAAATCACCTGCACCTGGCGCTGAAGGTTATTTCGGTTCACTGAGTGATTATTGGTCAAATGCTATTAACGTGTTTTATAGTCGGTAAGAGCCTGTCCGTGTCAAAACTCCACGGTCTTATGCGTGTCTTCTCTCTCCCTACAAGGCAAGCTGATGAGCGTACAGCTGTCCACCAGTCGGCTTCGCACCGCCCCAGGAATGGGAGATCATACCGGCTGCTATGTCTGTGGGAAACATGGTCACTGGTCGAAACACTGTCCAGTCGGTCGGAACGATAGCCACGGTGATGGCATGAGAGGTCGCAGCAGCAGGGCCCCACCACGGGGTCCCCCCAGTTATGGCAGGGGCAGCTATGGAATGGCCTCATCTTCAGCAACTGATTACATGGGTCACTCTGCATATAGTCAGGCTAGTTATATAGGTGGGTTGCCACCTCCCCCTCGTAGGCTTAGTGGCTACAGCTCTGAGCTGGGGGATAGGTACGCTAGCAGAGCAGCAGCCTCCTATGCTGAGAGGTCAGCTTATGATCGTGATCGTCTCTATAGCAGTGTTGACTATTATGAGAAGTACAGAGCTCGCCCATATGGTTCAAGCTATTTCGAAGCTTGTCGCATGTCCTATCTTCCCCCTCCTCCACCTCCCCCTTCCTCCCTTTCAAAACTCTCCTCCAGTATAGATCCATATGACCGTCGTCCACTGCCTCCACCTTCGTCAGCCGCTGCGTATTATGCACGAGACCGCAGCCCGATCAGACGGGTACCAGTCTCATCCAGTTACACCTATGAGCGAACAAGGCTGTCACCAGTGTCAACCTCCAGGAGCTCCTACGCTGTTCCACAACCCAAGGATCATTATGTGCCACGCTATGCGCCTTACTAAAGCCACGGTGCCAAGGTGAGCAACGTAATAAACAAGTATGGCAGTGCATTTGATCTATCGAGTGGAACATTTCACTGTAAAACTTTACAGGTCAGTAGGCACTGGGGTCTCAAAGTTTAAGGCATGGAAACCTTTGGAGCTGTGCTGAGGATAATGGAGATATTAAATCCTGTTTCTGAAAAGGGATTGCTTTGCTGTCTTTCTAGGTCTGTTTATGAACTGCAGGACTTTTCATTTGCCATCATTTCTTCAGGCTACATTATTCCATGATTCTACGCAGTGTGCAGCAAAACGTATCAGATGTGGAAATTCACCTTGGGGTTTTCTTGGCATCTTCCAGGCACTTGAGATGCCAGTTGCCTGCAGAGGAATTGTTCTTTCAGTCACATTCACATATCCGGTTTCCAGATGATTAGCAGACTGCAATGTTTGACATTTATAATCTATAAAAAAAATTATTTTTCATACCTGCAGATTTTCAGTTCAGTTGTTTAGCTATGCCTTTTTTTCTTATCTGCATTTTTGTTCACACGCAGCAAATTGTTAAGTTCAGCAAATATTCATTGTTTGGCTTCTTGTTTGTTATTTAGAAGAGAGCTGAATTTATATTTGTGTTAAGGGGCTTGACAGCTACATACATTGGTTCCAAGGTTGTGCTGTAGTTGGTGTGCATCTCCCATAAAAATGTAACTACACAAGGCTATGGAATTGAGAGATACCATGTTGGGAGAGCAACAACTGCAATTGGGTGCTTGTTTTCCCCTACATGTTAGATGCTAGTGGATTTTCAGAATGAAGACAAACTTTGGGAAAGTAACGAAAGCCTCTCTGTGGTCTTCTCCTTTTCAATAACAAACGTCTAGCAAAGCGGTTACACTGCAAACCTGCTCACACTGAACACCAGTCTGTATGAATTAACAAGTGTAAACACCACATCTGGTGAGTGATCCTCTTGTTTCCCAATGAGACCCATCAAAATAATGTACATTACCAGTTGTAACTCCAGTTCTACAAATCAGCGTAGCTCAGTCACAAAGTAAGATGATGTAAACGAATAGAAAGCCAGAAATGGCTTGAACATACACAATACATGCTTCTTAGTTCATACAGTTGTGTGAGTGAAATCTGACTCTACTGTAAATCAAAACCTATGCTGTACATACCTGTGTCAGGACCCCAGTAACCCCGTATGCAGACTGTAAATCCAGCTGAACATTTCGTGTTACATTAATATATATACTTGTTTATCTTATTTTTGTCTCAGATGTGGGCTAATCCATTTATTTAGCTCCTGTCAGTTGCTAGTGGAGAAGAGACTCTGCTCTTCAGCACATATCTGACATTATCTGAGTTATATATGGATAAATATTTGACAAACCTTTTGTCCCAAAATTGATTACGATTAGTGTCCAATAATACGCTGCATAAGTCTTTGTCCTCTATTGCACATGAATGGACACGATGAGAAATGAATCTATATCCATACAGCTGCTCTGGGTGAGTGTTCATTTAAGATCTGTCGCAAGACAAATAATCTAAAACATTCCAGCCACTTGATTTTTCTAATTTGAATGTTCTAGTGTCTGTTGATTTGAAGTCAGAATTCTTGAAATAAAAAAAAAAATCATTGTATGACTCCAAAATAGAAATAATGGTTGCAGTGCATTGTGCAACAATCCCATACTTGTCCCAGCCCAAAGTTTTGCATGCTATACCTACAGCTGACAACAGAAATTAACCTGCCTTGTCTTGAATTTTACTCTGGGATGTATGTTTATTGTATTCATATAATGGAGTAATCATATACAGAAATGTGAGGTAGGACTCAGGGCTTGGGCTTTTTATTTCACAAGGAACTAGTTTGTTAAATATGTCCTTGTGTTGCATATAGGTGGATTTGGAGTTTGTATTTTTCATACTATCTGTAAAAGTACCAGCATACATTAAAAATCTAAAATGATTTTCATTTTTAATAAAGCCAAAATTATTTTGGTGTTGCTTCAGCTCTTTACTGTATTCCATCAAACCAGGTTTCAAATTTTCTTAAGTGTAATCACACCTTTTGCTCTGACACTTAAAAAAATCTTGGCTCATCCTCATTCAAGTATGATCATGATTCTTTAAAAGTGTGCACAAGGGGGAATCTGACACAAGAATTTGTAATCATTTATATATCAGCCTGCTCTACAGTAGCGTCTAGAGTCACAATAATTACAGATACCGAAAGGAATAAATATTGTGCTGCACATTAACTTTTTTGTTTTCTAATTTTACCTTATTTCTTGTGAAAATCTGAAGAAACAAATGTTCTGGTGTGAATTTTTTTCAGATTAAGTACTAATAGTACTAGTAACCAGTGTTACTAACTTATTCAGTGTATGCAATAACAAAGTAGTCAGATTTACTCAACGTCCTAGTTGTATTTACAGCATATTGCTTAAAGGTGCTGATATACAGGTTTGTGTCCACCAAATAATACCAGGGCTATTCTGGGGATTGTATGACAGCTTTATCAACCATAAGGAGCAACTAACTGAAAATTGGTTATTTTTCCTAACTGCACAAGCCGTGCAAAGATAAATACGTGTGTTTATAGAAAAGGCCATAATTGTGGGATTTTCCCCCTTCCACACAAATATACTTGGTTTCTCTGTGAGACAGGCCACCAAATGTTTATTCCAGTATTCGTAATGTCCAAGTCATGCATAGCGTTTTCGTTTTGTTCCTTTTCTTTTGCGTCACATCTAAATGACGTAACATTAGCATTGGTGCTCTTGTCCCTCCCAGAGGGTGCTAACCCAGTTAGCTCTATGCCTTCGCTTCCGCGTGGTGTTCGCTGGTCACGAGGTGGTTAAGCAGGCGCCATTTCATTCTCCGAGGTGTCGAGACGCACTGTGCAGCTGCAAAAGGTATGTGTTCTAGTACCTCGGGAGATATTTTGGTTGTTAAAAGTAGCCAATGAACCTAACGTTACCTGTTACTTATGAGGAATATGTTTCCTGTGTAATTTATTCACACGCGGTATGTTAACATGGACTTGCTAGGTGTGCAGCGTGGTTAAAGCCATTGTCTTTACAGCGTGGGGATGAATGTTACGTAACTTTAATAACGCCTAAAACCAAACAGTGATGTGAAAATGTTTACTGTTAAGACAGCTAATCGCGTTAATGTTACTTTGTTTAGCTCTGCAGCTAACAAACATGAGCCGTAGAGCCACAGTGTAGCGCCACTGTGCTGTGCATGGAGAAAATATCACACAAACGATGGCTGTGTGTAGTTTCTTATTTTCTGGTGACGCAGGTCTGTTTTATCCAAGGATGATGCTTATCTGACTGCTTGCAAAACTAGCTTAATTCAAATGCCTGGTTATCAGAGCTATGTTTTGCACACATTTACAAATTCTAATGTTTACTCTAAATTAGGAGCCCACCACAGTGTTGTTACCACCAACTGTTTAGTTTTTTTAAATAAAGTTTTAAGTTATTTGGATAAAGTTTTTGTCAAAGGACCATGATAAAAGTTTCTAGTGTTATGTCTAGTGTTAATTGTTATGTCTGGGTAAGCAAAGTTTATTTTATGTGCTGTGAGAAGGCATCAGACCTGTAATAAATTCTTAATGAAGTTTGTGCTCAAAAAGTTTCATAGAGGTGCTGATTCAGCTGTATGTTCATTTTTGGAGTTTGCAGTTTGTGCTTATGTTGAACTCCACTGCATTATAGAGATGTCTTATACAAATGGGCAAGGAAAAAATATGTAGACCCTTTGGAATAACATTGTTTTCTTCATAATCTGATCATCTAGGGCATATCTTCATCATCTAAGAGGGTGAATGGCTCTCTGAACCCATTCCACAGGATGTGTATTGGCTTAAAGTTTGGGCTCTGACTGGATCTTCTGTTTGAAGTCATTCTGTAGTAATTTACTTTGATATTTATGGTCATTCTTCTGCTGCACCACCCAGCTTCTACTGAGCTTCAGGCAGTGGACAGCCATTGACATTGTCCTGCAGGATTTCATTGCAGTCTTTGGAATAAATATTTCCTTTCTTGATGGCAAGATGTTCAGGCCAAGAGGCAGCACAGCAGCTCCAAATCATGATGCTTCCTCCATCCTATGTCACCTCTGCTTGGAATGTTTTCATGTTGGGGTGCAGTGCCCTTTTTACACCTTATGCAGTGCTGCATGCTTTTTATCAACAATCTTTTAGATTTTTGGTGAACCCATTGGCCTAAGGGTTCACATATGTTTTCCAACCTACACTGTTAAAGTTTTAAGAATAATTTACATGACCATCTTATCATTTAAGACAAATTAATACCAAGGCTTCACTTTTTTACCACTATTAGTTTAATTGTAATTATTAGAGCCCACCCAGTAAATTCCTGAAGGTGATACTGATATTACATCTGTATTTGTGTGCAGGGACAATAAAGCTGTTCTATTCGATATTTGGGAGAGAGAAAATTTGCAAACTTAAGCTGACATTCATTTTTAGCGTAAACAAATTTTCTTGGTATGTATGCTTTAAATTTTCATTAGTAAAATTTGTGATCAAGTCAAGATTTTTATTTGCCATTTATGCATAAACAGACAGTCTAGGCATATAGGAATTCTTGTGCGGCTTTCCTTTGGAGACAGGTAAGGAGTCAAAAGCCAGAAAGAACACTTAGTCTTAAAATAAAAAGTTACATAAAGGCAACAAAGCATTAAAACTACAATACACAAAAATAGGGTAATAGTATTTTCCCCAGTGAACTTCAAACATCACACTTAGTAAATCACATGGTGGAGTTGGATATGTCATTACACTTGGTGAGGTAGTGAGGGAGTATAACATACTAAAACACAGTTTACATTCAGGCTTGTTTCCATTGCTTGGTAGAGAATGTCCTGCTATTATTCAGGTCCCACAGGAGATGTGTATATAGTATGATATAGTTTATTTGAAAATAAACTATATCATACTATATTGGGAATCCAGAAATGTTAAAGTTCCCATGGCTTGCTCGTTTCCAGCCATTTAATGTTCAATCCTGGGTACCTCTAGATTAGATTGGCACCTCTCATAACTCCAAATAGTTTGTAATTGTTTCAGAATCAGAGAGCCAGAAACCCTCTTCCTTAAAACAAGAGGATAATTTGTGAATGCGCACAGTTCCTGTTGCCGGTGTTGTTGTAACTGGACAGCACACGTCAACCCAGCGGCATTATTTTCCATTGAAGGAGATCCTTAAACTAGTAGTTCATTTTGTTAGAAAAAAGTCTGGTGAGTAAGAGTTTGCAAGACTTGTATAAACTGAGTTGCTTCTGCATAGAAATACTAGAACATATGTACACCTCATTTTTTGAGCTTTAGGTTACGTCTAAGATGATAATTCACCGTTGTAACATTGTAGATAAGTCAGAAAACGGGGAAAAGCATGTCAAGGGCTCTTTAAAGTAACAAAAGTAAAAGTAGTCATTACACAGAATGGCACCTTTCACATTGTGTATTATATTATTGGATTATAATTATTCAGGCATCATGTTCAGCCAAGCGACCAAATAACAAATAATAATAATTGTCCATACTGAAACATATGAAAAAAGTTTGAGTGCATTCCTTAGTTATGTCTGAAGAGTAACGTCCGTTATTCAGAACTGTCTTTGTGTTGTGTTGAACAGCTGTTAAAAAAAAATCAGTCTGGCTATTGTTATTCATAGCTCATTGTTGTCAGGTGTTGTCACATCAGGGTCAAAGTAAGATTCGTGTTGATTTATATTTGGGGTAAATCAACTGGTCAAAGCTTTAACTCAGTAGAATTGTGGTACCGATAATCTTGATTGCTTGTCTTCCCTTAGTGACGTGGCGGCTCAACAATGGTGAAAATATTCATCGGGAACTTGTCACCAGACACTACATCAGACGAACTTCGCTCTCTCTTCTCCCAGTATGGCAAGATTGCAGAATGCACTATTGTCAAAAACTTTGGGTTTGTGCACATGGATGACAAAGCGGAAGCAGAGGAAGCCATTCGCAACCTCCACCAATATGAGCTAAATGGCCAGCCCATGAATGTAGAATTGAGTCGTGGCAAGTCAAAAGGATCCACCAAACTACATGTTGGCAACATTGCCTGTACCAACCAGGAGCTGAGGGCCAAGTTTGAAGAGTTTGGCAGTGTGTTGGAGTGTGACATAGTAAAAAACTATGCTTTTGTTCACATGGAGCGAATGGAAGATGCCATGGAGGCCATTAATCAGCTAGACAACACAGCTTTTAAAGGTGAACTCTTGGGCTGGGCTTAGTGGGGAGTTTACTTTGTAACAAAGATATAACATCAAGAATCATTAATTCTGTTTTTGTGAATCGACAGGTAAGTCATAGGTGCAACGCAGGTGAGTAAAAAAAGATGAAGGGATAATTGTAAGCTAAATACTAATTTTAAAGCTGGTATCTGTAATGTCATTGGTAGTAGTCATCTGTATGATGAATTGTAAAATGCAAACGGGCACCTACTTCAGTTTATGGTTGACACCTGTTCTGTGCGGTCAGTTTAATGGGCAGATAATTTAGGCCTAATTTACATCACACAGACTGTCATGGTTACAGACACCGAAATAATTTAAATTGTCAAATTTGGCTTAATTCATGTGTTAGCACTAGCAGATTGTCATTGGTGGTCAAGAAACAATGTACATGTATGTCACAAAGAACAGTGGCAAAAAAAAAGTCTGTGAACCCTTTGGAATGAGCTGGTTTTCAGTAGTAATTGATCACTGATCTGACCTTCATCTTGGTCACAAATATAGACAGACGTAGCAGTCTTTTGTGTCTTTATTGAACACACCCATTACACACTAACCATGATGGTGGAAAAAGTAAGCAGAACCTTGGATTCAATAACTGGTTGAACGTCTTTTGGCAGCGGTAACTTCAAACAATCTCTTCCAGTAGTTGAACGTTTGCATATCCGTTTTTGGCTGAGATCACACTGTCGCATGTTTATACAGTACAACTCTTTTCAGATGTGAGATGTGTAACTGCTGCTTCATCAGTCTGTTAAACAGGCTTTCTATCATTCAGACATAGGGCAGTTTTACGTTATGGTTCTTGGGGCTTTATTTATACCCACGACAACGAATAAGATGAGGCCAATGGTTTCACACAAATAGTCCACCAGCTAGTAGACCAAGCTGCCTCCATCACATTCTCTTTCCTCTTAATTATCAAACTCAGACTGCATGGAAATTTCGTGCTGTCTCAAATACTTAAATTTAAACACAGATGAGCTACCCAGTGAACAAATATTAGAATAGTCAAATGGTAAATGGACTGTATTTATATACCGCATTTTTCACAGCGTGTTGCACTGGCCAAAGCGCTTTACAGGAGATCATACACCATTCACCCATTCACACACCGATGACGACAAGTTGAATCCAGACCTACTCCATTTATAAACACTTCATCTCACTGTGGACTGATTAATATGTGAACTTGGGGATTACTTAGTAACCTTTTCTAGATTTAAACAATTTTAGAATATTTGTGTATCAAATGAAGATTTTATTTTAAGATGTACATAAATTGAGATCTTAAAGATCAAAGATTTTTATTGTTAGTTCACTATATGTGCAGGACATGCAGAAAAATCGAAACACTGTTTCTCTCTCACGTAATGTTGAATGCCCATACCATGTAGAAATTAAAATAGAATAAACACAATATGAACACTAAACTGAATTCAAGTAATAAGGATAAACTAGATGGTACAACGTAATAGGCTATGATGAAACTCAAAGCGATGTGCAAACAGTGACAGTAAAGGGTTCACTTACTTTTTCTTACCATTGTATGGACATAATTTTTGTTCAGTTTGGCCACTACAGAGGATCAAATGTGTGGAAATTTACAGATTTCAGCTTTAATGGCAGTTTTTAATTCTCAAAATAAGCTGTGTGATATTGGAATGTAATATAGCTTTTGCACCTTAAAAAACTTTGTCAGCTAGGCAGGAAATGTCAAATATATGGAATAAATGCAGCCATAAGTCCTTATTGAGTGTTTTCTTTTTAAGGAAAACTGATGAGCGTGAAGCTTTCGACTAGCCGCCTGCGTACGGCGCCGGGAATGGGAGACAGATCGGGTTGTTATCGTTGCGGGCAGGAAGGCCACTGGTCCAAAGAATGCCCTCTAGACCAAAATGGCTACCACAGAAACGGCTCAGAGCCAAGGTCTGATGGATATGACTCCTCGAGATTTGGCGGCCGTGGTCACAGCCGGGGTTATCCGGACTTCAGTGGCGATCCAGATTATGGTGGTGGCTATGCTTCTATACATGGTTATTCCCGGGGTTCTGGTCACAGCAACAGCATGACAGGGTACAGACGGGGTGCAGGCTATGAGAGTGCAATGAGATACGGGCCGTACCCAGGTTACAGCATGAGCGCTGTTGCTGATCATAGCATGGCTCGGATGTACAGCAGCGAGGCCGCATACAGGAGCAACGGCTCACTCTATGGCGCGGTACCAGCCTACCCGGTGCGACGGTCGCCTTATGAGGGAAGGGATCCGTACGGGGTCGTGGACTACTACGAGAAGTACAGGGCCAATGCTTACGGAAGCAGTTATTTCGAGGAACGCCGCGCTGTCCCCTTGCCTGCTCCATCAACATCCTCCTCTGCTGCTATAATGAGGGAACGTCTGCCCCCCTCTAGCCTTGACCCATACCAGTGCCCTCCTTTCCCTCCTCCTCCAGCCCCAGTCTCCTCATACTATGCACGTGACCGGAGTCCGATTCGGAGAGTCCCCGCTGAGGCAGATGGATACGCTTACGAGCGTTCGCGCCTTTCCCCAGTGTCCACCCTCCCAAGAAGTTCTACCTATGAGCATCCGCGGGATACCGGTGCTGAGCGGGCTCGATATACATACTAATCTTTGTCCCATCTAGCCAGGTGAGAGCCAGTTAATGTTTAGCAGATAGGATAGCCTCAGTGCCATTGGATTCTGAAAATTTAACCTTGAACAGTATATGTTATAGGTAATATCAGGGGCAAAAGTCAGCCCACTATGTACAAGTATATGAGGTGTCTGGGGAGTAAGAAAAAAAGCTTTCCAGTCAAAATAGCCGATGATTAGATGTCGGTGTGAATGATTGAATACATTAACATTATGCTATGATCGCATTCCAGTTCGTACTGCAAAATGCAGTACAACAAATCTCAGCTGACCACCGTTCATTGTCCTGTTAACATGTTGTGATATTGTGGTGCAGTTCTGAGATGACTCAGCCAAAGTATGGAATTGCAGATACTGAGTTTATCTACAGACTGGCTGACATTAATTCATGGAGCAGCAAGAAATTAACTTTTGCCACTTTGAAAGTAGCTACATTTTCTTACAATATTTAGACCCAGTTAATAGAAACGCATTAGATTAGGGCATGGTGCATGTTTTAAAGGTGAGTTGATTAAATTTAAGTTCCTTTTCAGCAGCATTTAATGTAATACTTTATGCATTTTTAGTATATTTGTGTAAATCCATGTTGTTACTGCATATGTGAATAATGACAACCACTTTTAAATACTGTATACTACATCGCTTCATTGTTTAGGCTGAGGACAGTAATGTCACACTTGTACAAATGTGGATATGCACAGAGTTAAAAACTTGTCACTTTTTTGGGTTACATCAGATTTGAAATTAAGTTAAACTTTTTTATCAAGCTGCAGTTTTTTGTTTTTGTTTTTTTAAATCAGTAGGCATTAAATTGCTTTTCATTGCCGTGATGTATACCATTAGTTGTAGTGGCATAAGAAAATGACCTTAGTTGTCAGTGCTGTCTGTCCAGATTTCTAACTATTAGGTTGAAATTAAAGTGTAGTGGATTATCTGAAGACTGTGACCTCTTTTTTTTGTCCTGAGATGTTTGGTATATTGTCAAATGGCATTTAGAGAAAAATATGTCAGTCAAAAAATTTAGGTTTAACAGTGTGGTAAAACAAATTGCATCATATGGAAATTCACCAAATTTGCAGCTTGTATTGCTGGCATTGTTATATTTAGAGGCATGTATCTACATGCATTAGTCGTTTACATATCACTTGTCGAAGATCCATTTTTAGCATTAATTGTAGCCAGTAGTAGTATTTAAAATTAGGTGCCAGGAGCAAAGGAGAGTTCTGGATCCAAAATACTTTGTCAGTGATGGTGATGCGTTGGTGCAGAGCAAGTTCCAGTTATTTGCTATTCATGCTGTATTAAATGCTTGCCAACTAACTATTCTACAGTGCACGTACAGTTAATGTTCTGTGTACTGTGGTGGAATATAAAGTGATGTGAGATTGAATTTATAAATGCAGTGAATATATTAGGGGATATTTTCATGCAAGTGCATTCTTATATACTAATTTACAGTTCATATTCATTGCTCTGAAATTAAAATAATGATTAATCTTTTAGTCTCTCTAGAGATGGGCAGAAGTTTAAAAAAAATTAAAGTAATGAATAAAATTATTGGTCTTGCCGGAGGTTGGTATAAATTGGAGTGACAGTCATGATAATCACCTTTATTTGGCCAGGTATGTTACACAAGGAATTTGTTTATGGTACCGAACTGAGGCGGCCTTCTGCGGCACCAACTCGCACTTGGGGGTTCAGTGTCTTGCCCAAGGACACTTCGAAATGTAGACTGCAGGCACCGTGATTCGAACCGCCAACCCTCCGGTTGGGAGACAGCTACACTACCCACTGAACACAATCGCCTCATATGAGGCATCAGTGTCTACTGCCCAGCAGGTGGCGATAATGCACTTTAAGTTAGTATGCAAACCGTCAATAAACAACAAGAAGAAGAAGAATACGTTCTGGAGGGAGGGCCGTGGTGTGGCCAATAGGACTGCTCTAAACTACAGCGTGTCATCCCATGTCTACGGGATCATCTTTTGTCGTTTTCTGTTGGGCGCCATTTTGATTAAAGTATTGCAAGAGGGAGTTGATACTGATACTTTACTAGAAATTTTCTCATTTAAAAAGATATTTACACTTAAGATAACTGACGGTTGGCAAAGGTTAAGGTATTTGAGTATATCGAAAATGGCCACGGGAGCAAATGCAACCCCCTTAGGGAAATTGCACCCAAGTATTGGCGCTAAACGAGGATTTGACGCCGGACCTGGCGCGGGGAACGGGTTGATGCCAACACCGGGGCCACCTGCGCCCTTGCCGTCTTTACAAGGATTCCAGCCTTCGATGGCAAACGCAGCTTTTCCACAGTCACATCAGTTCAATCCAGGGGCAGGTTTTGTCACCCAGGCTCAACAACAAGCAGCCGGACTGGCCAAAGCAGGTAAATTATCCGAACGCCCGCTAACGGTACAAGCACTTGATGCGGCACGAGCTAATGATGCTAACAACGATAAAGGCCCGAACATCAATCCCGGGCCTTGCATGAAATGGAGACGACTCCACTTAGGTTAGTTAGCAAGTGAATGTTTTCAGTAGCTAGCACTAGTTACATTAACCAGAGTCGTCGTCTTGCAGTGATTGAATTTGCACCTATTATGTTGAATTGAAATGTTGAAATTCCCGTATAACATTAACGTAAGGCATTGACCGTGCAGCGGTAGCGTTATTTATTGACCGAATGTCATATGTATCGAACTTAACAAAATAATATCAAGGCCTTGGTTGGCCAAATGGACATGGTGCCTTTTTCTGAATTATGAATACGTTAACCTAGAGGTGTGGATAACAGTTATATCTGATTGCATAACGATAAATTATGCTCCGAAGCGCGCCCCCTGGTGTCTGAGTAAGCCTCTTGTGTTCAGTTCAGCTTCTTGTGGCGTTCATTCTTCCCCTATCCTCTTATCTCTACTAATAAGCAAGGTTATGTTGAGTAGTTTTTAAATCTGTAATTTAATCGGACAGATTTTGGCCAGAAGAAACAAAGGAAGAAGAGTCGTTGGAGCAGCGAGACGCCTGACCAGAAGACCGTCATACCAGGCATGCCCACTGTCATTCCCCCTGGCCTGACCCGGGATCAGGAGAGAGCCTATATAGGTAAATGTTTAGTAATTAATTATTTTTAATAGAGGTTGCTATGTAAACTATAAATGTATATGTTTTATAATATGTTGACCAATCGTTTGAGGTTCTAGTTTTTATGTGGTGCATACCAGTGTTAATGTTAATCTTTGCTGACTTCCCAACAGTTAGAGCCCTCTAAAGACACACACAAGATGTGTTACTAACTGAAAAACAAACAAAAAAAAAAAATCACATTTCCTATTTGTAGGACAGTAACTGTATTGTGCTGCACAAAATGGGAAATGTCTAACATTGCTCAAACTTTTGAGACAAAGCAATTATTTCTGATGAGCAATGATAACTTGATGGTGTAAAGTGTTATGGTCATTTCTCTTTAATGCAAGTACAGTGGTTCTGCTGTGGCAAGTGTTTCTGTGGTCTTATGGTTTGCATACCATGGGGCACCCATTAGCAAGAGGGGTTTGAGATGATTAAACAGCACTACTGCTTGCTGATATCTGTCCTAAGCTGCAGGTCACTGCTCACTGTCTTGCCCGATCCTCTACACATCATCAGTATTGTTCTTGTGCATGGCGGCATTACTCATAATGTCCTAACATGCTATAGTATGCTTCTGTTTATATTGGTGTAAGTGTGAGCAATGCTGCTTCAATGGCACATCAGTCAAATGTATTTAAAGTATGCAACCAGCTAGTTCCATGGGCATTGTAAATTGGGAGCTGTAAATGTGTACGTAGTTTGATCTGATCATAGGATATGTCATCTATAATCACAACTGCCTTTCAGCAGCAGTGTAGCACCAACATACTGTCTTCACGTGCCCGCAACAGGGTGTTCTGAAGCAGAGAAGTCCCTCTGTCAACAACTGACATCATTATTGATGTTTTTTTTTTCTCTCATTGGTAATGGTTGTTCTTCCTTGGTATGTAAACATTCATTTGTGCCCACCTTCTGTTGTCACACTTATCGTTTCCTTTGCTCATGCAGTAGATCCCCTAAAGCAATCCAAGGAAAGCGTTTTAAGATGAAATTGCTATGAACTACAATTCACAGGTCCTGTATTCATCTCTATAATCCAGAGAAATCATTTCAGTGACTAGTGAACTGTGTTTGGGGAGTGTTTCATTACAGCATTCATAATGTGCATGGGATGACTGATTTTTTTTTTTTTCATTTCCTTTTAAATATAAGAATTGTTTCTTTGTCACTGCAGCCCCTCACCATTTGATATGTGAAGTGTTTTGTTACTGAAATTTGCAAAACAAAATAGAACAATCAGATTTTTAGACCTGCTGTGTCCTTAAAATGCCAAAGCCTTTAAATACAATTTGCTCCTGTATGTGGTGCCTTGTCTTCATGGACAAAAAGCTCAGTTTATGTTTCAACGATTAATGTTGTGGCAGGCATTTTTAGGATTCATGGTCTTGTCATTTACTGACATGTTGCTATGTTTAATCATTGTCTGAAAAATGGTTAGGCCTGTTTATGCCAATGAGAGTGACTTCTAAATCATATTCATATTGGGATAATGTCCTAGGAATCGGGTGGTTTTATGCTCTAGAGTCTCACAAGATGTTCATTTAATCTCCCTTTTTAATTTAACTGACTTGCCATTTGTTTTTTACCTCAGTAATGAATGAGACAGTGCTCTAATGTGCAGAGCGTTGTCTCTCTGATGTTGTTGTGGTAACCATATTTCTCTCCATCCTTGTTTTTCTTTCCTAACCTGAATTCTTCCAGTCCAACTGCAGATTGAAGACCTGACTCGTAAACTGCGTACAGGAGACCTGGGAATCCCTGTTAACCCTGAGGACAGGTCGGAAAAAGATTAAACTCACAAACAGTAACATTTTCTCTACCTTCTTGACTTTTTTGGAAGACAACTGTTGATTTTCAGTATATATGTGGTTGTTAGCCCACATCTCAGATGGCATAATAGTTTTAGCTGCTAGATGTAGAGATTAGTTAGATGTTCTCTGAGTGCTCCTAATCCCATTACCAGTAAGCATACATGATTTTACATTTACTAGTACTAGTTCCTTTACCAGGATTTAGAGTTATGCTTACTTTGGCTAGACTTGGTAATGGTAACCTGGTCTGTAAACATTATTTTTATAACATTAAGACAGGTATTTGAATATGATGACAAATTACAAACCATACAGAGGAGTGCAAAAAACCTGCACCCTAATGATTTTTTTTTTGGATGTCATTATTATACCATCTTTAGCATTGGATGCATTTTTCCCAAGACTGAGTCAGTATTACATTGTAATAAAATATAAATTAGCTCATCCCCTCTTCAGTTTCTGAAATTGAGATACATTTCACAATAAATGAGGACTATTTGCATTGGCTAAGATTTAATAGCATTAAAGCTTTCAACATTAATGCAAGTGCTAAAAAAAGTGCAAACTTGTATGAACAGAAATATTAGAATGAATATTTGTCATTGAAAAAAATTATACAAATAAATGCAAGTTTGTTTTTGACTGTGAAAACAGTTTAACAAAAAGAAACCAACCTAAAGTCGTCTTGTGGCTTGTTCTGGAGCTTTGAATCAGATCTCATGGTATTCCTCAAAGGAGAAAGTTTGCTCAGAGCAGAGCAACTTGCAGTCTGCTGAAGAAGACTGCGAGAAGTGGTTGAAAACTCCAAAAAGCTAGCAAGTGGACCTTGCACTGTGTTGGTTTAGCTTTTTTTTATTTTTGCTTTATGGGATGTCTGTTTATATTGGAGTGTAGTGGTAACAGTTTCAGTCTTGGGTAAAATAGTTCAAAGCCTTGACTTAAATAGTTGGATAACAACTAGTTCCAAGTGGAAGGGAACAGGATTCTATCAATGTT